AATGCAGCTGCATTCTGGCACGATAAGCTCTATGTTTTATATTCAATTAACGTATGATCTGATTAGTTGACTAATCGAATAAATAATCGGTGATTAATCGATTATTAAAATAATCGTTTTGTGGCAGCTCTAGTAGTTTGTTTGGCCTGGCTTGATGTTGTGAACGTTGGTTTGTTGAAACGCTTGCAATCTTAAAGGGATTCATGATTTATTTGTAACTAGACTTCATTTGATAAACATTTTAACTGTGAAATAAAGACTGTAAAAACACTAAGCCGTTTAGTTTTTAGAAAAAAATTTAAATATATTGTTAACACGAGCTGAACCATTTTATTGACACTGCAAAGCATACTGGATAAATGATGACGTATGACCAATGATGGTCATTTTGCGAAGCTGTACTAGGTTTATCCACCCTGAAGGTTAATCTTGGACAATATCTGATGATTGACTTTTTAAAATAAAACCAGAGAGCGTTGACAGAGTTGAAGGTAGAAATAACTCAGCCTGTAACTGAAAATATAGATGGAGGACAACAGAGCTGCTTCATGGAAGAACCTCAGCCTAGCCTGTTAGCTTTAGCGTTAACATTGATGCTATATTGCCATATAAAGCCCTGGCTTGGCAATAGCACAAAAGCTAACAAGCTAAACTGAGCTCCTCCATCTACATTTTCAGTTGCAGACTGAAAATTTCAAATGCCTATAACTTTTGTCCAGATGAGTAGATGCTTCAAACTCACAGGCTCTAATGAGCACCTAAAGAGGAGTAGACATGACTAATTTCAGCCTTCTACATTAACCTCAGCCTGAATTAACCAATGGCTGAACACATTTACAATGGGCTGTCATTGGAGCCATGTTGTCCAAACTCTGTGGCTCTTTATGGCTACGTTCAAAGCGCAGGCCCTATGCAACCTTAACGTAACAAATCAAAAAGTTATTTTTTTCATCGTTTTTCAGGGAACTGGACCACACTAGACCTGGTGGTCCAGCTCAAACCACAACACCTAGAGTCATCAAACCTGGACTAGAATATTGTACACTAATAAAATAATATTTAAAACTAAGTTAGAGATTTGTGAAAGCTTTTTCTGATTTGTGAAACTTCTACAAAGGTCGTTTTTAATCCATGTTTCATACAACTGGACCACACTAGACCTGGTCCAGTTCAAAAACTACAACACCTAGTCTTCAAACCTGGACTAGAATGTTCTATTTGAGTGATTTTAATGTTGTAAATGAAAATGTTGCCTTTTGTCAATGTTAATGACATGGTCACTTCAAAACATTACTTTTTTGACCCCCTTTTTTGTGTCACTGGAGACAGTGTGTCACTGGGTGGTCTTATGAGGAGGGAAACAGATTTCCTTTGTAACAGGCAGACTCAAATTAGTGAAGTACCTGTGGATGAATCTAGACTGGTGTGTTGGGCAGGTATTTGTATTAAAACACCAGAATTTAAATCCTTCCTGATACTTGAGAATTTGTTCCCCTCATTTTTTCCTAACACTTTTTTTAAGGTGCACCATGGTAAAATACAAAAAGGGAGATGACAAAGATATGTATGAAAAAAGTTTTTCCTGTTTTTTTTTTTTTGATCTTTTCCATCCTTCAGCAGACGAGTGTGGGGAGACTCCA